CCAGGGAACATATCAAGCCGATTCTGTATAAGTTACATTGGCTACCAGTTGCTGCCCGGGCCCAATTCAAAGTGCTTGTTTTGACATATAAAGCCCTAAACGGCTTGGGCCCTGGATACCTGAAGGACCGCCTCCTTCCATATGAGCCTACCCGGCAGTTAAGATCTAGCCAGGGGGCCCTTTTGAAAGAGCCGTCCCTCAAGGAGGTAAGAGGGACGGCTTGTAGACAAAGGGCCTTTTCGGCAGCTGCCCCCAGACTATGGAATGCCCTCCCGACTGAGATTCGTCTGGCGCCGACACTGATGACATTTCGGCGCCAGGTCAAAACCTTCCTGTTCCAGAAGGCTTTTAACTGAAATAATATTAGCTGTGGGTCCGATGGCAATTTTATATATTTTAATTGTATTTTAATTGTTACATAACTTTATTGTATTTTGTATTTAACTGTATTGTATTTGGGGCACCCGGGTTCAAATGTAGCTCAGGCATGAAAACTCACTTGTGGGTACGGCAATGGTAAGTCACTCCTTGAACATCTCACGCACCGCAAAAACACAGTTGAAGTTGCCATTGATTGGAAGCAATCTGATGGGGATGATCAATACAGGTAGGGTCCTATTAGACTATTGTTTTCCGCTGTCAGGTCGACTCCAATTTATGGCGGCCTTATAAATGAGTGATCTCCAAAATACTGTACCCTGTCAACAGCCCTGCTCCGATCTTGTAAACACAAACCTGTGGGTTCTTTTAGGAAGTCAAACCATCTCATATTTTGTCTTCCTCTTTTCCTGCTGCCTTCCACATTTCCCAGCATTGTCATCTTTTCCAGAGAATCCTGCCTTCTCATGATGTGCCCACAGTAGGACAGCCCCAGTTTCATCATTTTTGCCTCCAGAGATGCTTCAGGCTTGATTTGATTTAGGACCCACTTTTTCATATTTCTGCCAGTCCAGGATATTTACAAAGCTCTCCTCCAGCACCATATTTCAAATGAATCAATTTTTATGTCCATTTTCTTTATTGTATAGCTTTTACACCCATCCATGTTTATCAGAATCCAGATAAAAATTAATTGAATTTAGTCCCCACTGAAATCAGTGAGAGTTAAATCATGACTAACTGTCCCATTAATTTAAATGGGAACTACGTTAAATAAGCTTACATGAGCAGTCCTGACTTTTCAACATGTGGGTTCCTTTTTTTTTATTTTGAAGAAAGCCTTACCTCTCTCCTCCCTTCAGTCATCCAACATCATTTTAACAAAAATCAATTTTGTAATTGAAAATTAAAACAAACACATAAAATTTAGGGGAAATTGTTTTTCTTGAGAAACCTTAAATTCTAGTAATGATACCTGAGCTTTTATATAAAAGTAACAAGAGTTGCCCCTATCGCGCATGCTCCACCCGCCTCAACCTTCAGTTCCATTTTACCGCCTTCATGTTTGGAACACATAAAATTTAGGGGAAATTATTTTAAATATGGAGCAGTTTTTCTTGAGAAAAATTAAATTCTAGCAATGATATCTGTGATAGTAATTTGTTTAGATTTTTTTTGAAAGTATTTACGGGAACCTCAAAGTCACATACCTCCACCACACCCGTTTGAATTTCTTCATATCCACACTCTCCAGTTTTGGAACCAATGGTCTAGTCTAGATTGATGTTAGGCATGATATTTAAGTGATGAATTATTCGGACGCGAGCTTCCCATAGTACAGATTGCTAGCATATGGGAAACTGTGATAGATTGGTGGGAGCTTAGACATTTATCAAACAAAACACCACCACCATCTTGTTGGGGGGGGGGTTCCATTTTACTTCAAGCATTTTCAAATTCGTTTTCAACATGTGATGCCCAAGAGACACACACATATGAGAAACCACTGTGGCACAGTGGTTAAAATGCATTACTGCAGTTAAGCCTCTGCTCACAACCTGAGTTTGATCTCAATGGGTTCAGGTAGCCAACTAAAGGTTCACTCAGCCTTCCATCCTTCCAAAGTTGGTAAACTGAGTACCCATCTCACTGGGGGACAAGTCATTGTTTACATAATTATGTTGTAAACCACCCAGAGCGTGCTCTAGCACTGTGGAGCGATAGATAAGCTGACACAACCACCACCAACCCAACCTGTTGCTCTTGCGAGACACTGAAGAGTTCCCACCTTTCTTTGCCAGGTGGGAGTGATGAGAACTGTAGTATCTAGACCAGGGTAGCAGGGTAGGGGGAGTGCTGATTCGAGGTTTGTAGAAGCCACCAAATTTTTTGTTGAAGAGGCTGTGGGGGCGTCATCCAGATCGACAGAAACAGTCGGTTCTTTCAACTCTGGTAAAAAGCAGCTTGTCTCCTCCAGGCATTCTCAGAAGACAGATGTAGATGTGTCAACACACCCGGCGGAAAGAGAGCCTCTTCAGTCAAACAGACAGAGCCAGGCGGACCTGTACGGCAGGCTCTTGCAATCTTTTCCTCTTTCACGTAACAGTTATTGACCAACAGACGGAAAAAAGAGGAGGGCCGCACTGCTTCCCTAGGCCGGATACCATGCACCCCCGCTGCTTGTCTAGCTGGCATCACACAAGCGATCCTGGCTCCTCCGGCTTTTTAAAAATCCCCCAGCAGTCTCCCTAAGCTCTTCCAGCAAGCCCCAAATCCTTCCCCAATCCCCACCCTGCCAAAACAGTGTAAAGCCTCCAAGAATTGCAAATCTTTTTAAATCTCTCACTCTCTTTGGACCATTTAACATAACATATATCAGTTAAAAACATGGATGTTCGTGCAG